CGGGTTCATCACCCGCGCCCAGCGAGCCCCCCTAAAACTGCTGAAATCGGGGACTGTCCGGTGGAAAGTGTGCGCGGGTGAGTAACCCCGCCTGAGCCGGCACCTCCGGGGTTTTACTGCCATCATTCCGTCTGGAGGCTGGTGTGTGTGTGTGTGTGTGTGTGTGTGTGTGTGTGTGTGTTCCCCCCCTCTCCCGCGGAGAGAGCCGTGGGCGGGAGCCGGCGTCGAGCTCCGGGCCGCGGCCGACCCTCGGTGTGTGCCCGCAGGTGGGGAAGATGCAGGGCAACAAGGGCTTCAACATGGAGAAGCAGAACCACGCTCCGCGGAAGCAGCACCAGCACCAGCAGCACCCGCCGCCCTCCGTCCCCGCCAACGGGCAGCAGGCCAACAGCCAGAGTGAGTCCCGGGCCCGCCGCGGGGGCCCGCCCGGCCCCGCTCCGGGTAGGCGTCGAGCGACCGGCCTCGCTGCGGGGGAACCGGGAGTGGGGGGTGGGGGGTGGTGGACGTGGGTTCCTGGGTGGCTGCTGGCCCCTGCGGGGACAACCGGCCCCGGGGGGAGCGAGCCGAACCCGCTCTTTCCATTTAAAAGCAATAAAAACTCAGGCCCTTCGCTGTCCGCCTGCAGCGATCGGGTTTTCCCGTTGTTGGAGACTGTGGTTTGAACCGCGGCGGGGTTTTCACGTTGGGTTGTTTGGGGTTTTTTGTTCCCCAGTCTCCTCAAAAGATTCTCGCGGCTCCCGTAGGTTTGACTGGGAGTTGTAAGGGTTTTTTTGTGTTCCCGAAAGCGGGCAGTGGTGCAGAGATTCCGTCTTTGTCTCAAGTTCTCAAGGAAAGCTCACTCCAAGAGTTTGGAAGCCGCTGAACCTTTAAGGGTGTTGCTGTAAACCTTGCAGACATAAGACGGCCCGTTTGCCGCTGACTCTATTTCCCTTTTTCCCCAACCGTACCAGATGGCTTCTCCATACAGGTTTTATTAAGTCAGAGCAAAATAAATTTGCTGTCTGTAAAGATACAGTTGCAGCACGAACATTTTTACAGCGATCCTGTAGTAACCTGTTAAGACTAAGTTTTTCCATGAGAGACACCAGGAGATGCGCAGCTTTACTTAATATTTTAGCAGTCAATCTTACTCTGATCTGGCATGTTTCCGGGCTTGTTCCTAACCAGGGTGGATGGTAGTGCTGTTCCTTGGGATACAGAGGGGGTGCTTGTGAGCCCAGACAACACACATCAATGGCTTCGGGGGCTTTAAGCAGTCTAACTTGATCGTGTAGAAGCGCGGTGGCGAGGCTTTGAAGAAGTGCTTTTGTTAGATTAGAATTTTTAATTTATTTTTATTATTCGGATGCTTTGGCTGTTAAAAGCAAAAGCGTATAGAAGTCACGGTGGAGTCAGGTTGGAAACAATGCAACACAGACTGCTTTGTGGGGTTTTCCCAGGGATCAGCTTATAGTGAGCGACCGTATCTCAGGTTCCTTTGAGTGGATCTACTGAAAGCAGAGCAGTGGTAGTGGAGCAACTCTGCCACGAGTCCCTCCCAATGTATTCACAAGCCTCACGGTTGATCCCCAAAGACTTCTGGTGCCTGTGTGAAGAAGTTCACAAGACAAAACGCTTCACTTAAGCACCGTTGCTGTGTGAAGTAGATGGTTTACTATCTCTGCTATTTTATAGATATACTGTTAGGCTTATATTTTTGGGGGTTTTTTTTAGTGTTAGCGACAGGGGTGTGCTTGAATAATATAAAAGAGTTGTCCTTTCATGTTTTGCATGCATTGTCTTTGCATGAATAGCCTTTCCTGGTTAGTGCCACGCGTAGCCTGAATCAAGCTGCTTATGTTTGTAGGTGATCTCCTACATGTGGCCATGAGGTGTGTGTCCTCTGCAAAGCAAAGGAACTGCTCTCAATGGCTTGCTGTCCTGTGTTTGGGAAGTCCCTTATACGTTTAAGGAAATGGGACACAGGAGGGTAAAGTGGTGATAAAGCCATCCCTGTGTATGGCAGAGCTTCCAGGATCGTGCTGGACTCTTGCTGAATTAAGAGTTAAAGACTGTATATATATGCATGTGGGGATTTGAGAATATTCTTACAACGCTGTTTGTTAGCCTTAGGTATAGCATCACTTACTGAATATAGATTTTTGTAATGAAATTTGTAATTTTTCTGGGGTCTCACCTCTATGGCTGGTTTGGGGTGTGTTTTTTTTTTTCACTATTTTCACCATTCCAGCCTTCTCTTCAGCTGGGAACCCAAGACTCTAGAACCCAAATCCCACCTCAGAATGACAGCTATCTCAAATGTTACCTGTCTGGACAAAATTTCCACTCCTTTGCATATTTTTTCTAAACATCTGGGGTTAGTTTTGTTTTAGGGTTGGTTTTGGGGGTTTTTTTGAGTAAAAATCTGGTTGCTGGCCAAATTGTGGCTTTTCAATAATTATTCAGGTTGTAATAGCAAAGTCCTGTATTGTGACTACAGGTGTTTTTGTTGCGGGCCAGTCATCATGACCGGATCTCAAAAAATTGAGTGAAATCCCTCACTTTATTTCAAGCTGCAGTGTGCTTCTTTTCTCCAGTTCTAGACTGGTGTTAATGAACACTGAGGGCCAAGCACATGTTTTCTTTAAAAAGAATAAGGGGCCCCTTCTGAAATAAAATCCCCTTGTTGCTGGAGAGATGGCTGGAGAGGTTTGAGACCCAGGTGAATGGGTGGTGTTACCTATATTGTCCTATGCTTTTTTGTGTTCACTGTGATGAAACCTAATAGAATTTATCCCCCCAACTGTAGAGCAGCTGTGTACCTTATTCCCCTCAGATGAAGGCCTGACTATTGACCTGAAGAATTTCCGGAAACCCGGTGAAAAGACCTTCACGCAAAGAAGCCGCCTGTTTGTGGGGAATCTGCCCCCAGATATTACAGAAGAAGAGATGAGAAAGTTATTTGAGAAGTATGGCAAGGCAGGTGAAGTCTTCATACACAAGGACAAAGGCTTTGGCTTTATCAGGCTGGTGAGTTGACGTGCTACCTTTGGGGTGATTTTGTAGTGGTCCCGCACCCTGGAGGAGTATTGCTAATTGGAAGCAGTAGATGTTCAGGTATCTTGCTAATTAGGCCTGCTGTTGAGTAACCTGGAATTACGGGATCAGCTTTGACAGGTTATTTGTCTAGAGCTTGTTATGAAAAGGAATCTGAATTCAGGCAGGATTTATGAGACGCCTGATAAAGTTATTATTCTAAAGTCAATTGGTAGAAAACAGAAAGAAACAGGAACATAGCACTATTATAGACAAGGTGGGGTTCCATTTGCGGGAAGGGCATGAACATGGCATTTGTGTGAATGCAGGTTGTCATGCAGTATTACTGGAGTGATCCATGTTCTTGAAGTAGGGGGTCTCTAGATGATCACACTGAAGTGTGGCTAGGAGGGAGGTAGCTACCAACATGGAGCAATGGTTCTCAGACTTCACTGTCTCAGGTGCTACCTTTCTGAAAGTCCCAAGGGGAGTGGATGGAGTGTGAGGTTCCCACACCAAAGACTGGTGTGCTTTGCTGTAGTGTAACTGCTTGGTAGTGACTTAAATGAGTGGAAAGGTGTGAAACTGGCACAGGATGTCTTTCATGGATGGCATACAATCAGCATTTCTTTTCACACTTATCAGACATAGCTAATAGTGGAATCTCGGTTTATTTTTTTTAAATCTTTTTATGTGTTTTTTTTAAAGGCATGCTTTGTAGCCTTGAACTAATAGTGGAATCTTGGTTTATTTTTTTAAATCTTTTTATGTATTTTTTTTTTAAAGGCATGCTTTGTAGCCTTGATTTAATTATCTCTGATAGATAATGATTATTTAGTTTGTACTGGCTGTTGGATTAAGCTTAGGCCTGGTATATTTGATTTATTTTATTTTTGTTTCCCCCACAAGCTCTGCACGTGCTTATTCAGCTAGAATCATTGATAACAGAGTAGAGCTGCGGTTTGTTAGGACACTTTTTACCATGCCGTGGGGAGGATTATTTCTTCCTCTCTGTGAAGCACTTGTTCAGGGGAAATAGGCTTGTGACTGTTACAACTGCAACTGGCTGATTCTGTGCTGCATTGAGAGTTTTAATGATAACTTTTTTTATCTTCAGGAAACTCGCACTCTGGCAGAGATTGCAAAGGTGGAACTAGACAACATGCCTCTACGTGGGAAGCAGCTCAGAGTGCGTTTTGCGTGCCACAGCGCATCGCTGACAGTCAGGAACCTGCCTCAGTTTGTGTCCAATGAGCTCCTGGAGGAAGCCTTCTCAGTGTTTGGCCAGGTGGAAAGGGCTGTGGTTATTGTGGATGACAGAGGACGATCCTCTGGGAAAGGCATTGTGGAGTTCTCAGGGAAGCCTGCTGCTAGGAAAGCCCTGGATAGATGTAGTGATGGGTCTTTCCTGCTAACTACGTAAGTGTGGAGGGCAAGAAGTGCTCTACTGGTGTGTGTGCAGGTTGATGGGTGGAATTGGCTCGTGAGCAGTGTTTCTTAACGCTGGGATGGGACAGATGAGATGTGGGGTAGGAGGTGGTAGGTGATTTGGCCGGGGAGCTTTGTTTCAACAAGAGTGAGTCTGCTGAAACTCAGGTCTTACAGAAACCATCAGGTGCTTACAGAAACTTTCTTCTGGGAAGCTGATAGTGGGGTAAGTACATAAAACTTCCTGAGAAGCTCTCTCTCGATAAAGCCTTCTTAAGGCAATTAAAGCAGCCTTTAAGAAGCAGGAGCTATTACAGAGACCATCCATATAATTTGTTGGAAAGAAAACTCAAGTGTGGTAACTGTGCACTCTGGGTTGCTTCAGAGAGGAGTCTTGGAAGGGGACTCTCCTCAGCAGCTTGCACTGCCGGGGTGAAACGCTGACCAGCCGCTGCGGGCACGAGATCTGTCAGAGAGGCTGGTCAGGTAGGTGGGTTTGTTTGGAGTTTTTGCCATAATAAACTGGGTTCCTTGTATTTGAACATCATAAGGCAACAAAGCATGCTCTTGAATAATTACGTGAACTTGCTCAAGTAAATGACTAATTCTAGATGCATTCCACAGAGCACGGCTTGTTGTTCAGCTACTAAGAGGGAGCCGTTTTTGATCTCTTGGAAATAAAATTTGCTGTAGATTTTTGTATGGATGCACCTAGAATTTGTGAATAGAATACTTGCTGAACTTGGGGGTATATTGCTAATTTCTAAGGAAACTTTATAAGTTTTGTGCTTCTCACTTATCTTGTTGTTTTTTTTTTCTTGGAGGCCTGCATATGGCACAGCTGTACACAAAAGCGTTCAGTTTCAAAAAGCAGGTGTTCTGGGTTTTGTTTTTAATATCTGTTTTTCTCTGAGACTCTTTGGGGTTAACCAGCATGGTGTGTAGCACTCTGCAGGAGAATTGCTGTTAGAGAGCGTTTGCTGATTCAGAAGCCTGTGTCTGAAAGAACCATGAAAATAAATTTTTAAAAGTGGTCATGCGAAACTGATCGCTTCTAGTGTATAACTGAGAGCACCTGAGGGTAACATCCAACCAATGTATTAGATTATGCTATCAAGGACAGCAAACCAGTATGCTGCTTATTTCTAGTTATGGTTTGGTTCTGATTAAATTTGTTCTGGTTTGTTCTAGTTCGTGGTAGTAACAGCTAGATAAACTGGTTGGAATGGGTTCACGCTGGAAAATAAGGCTAGTAATAATGGAATATGTCCCATTGAAATGAAAAGCTACATTGTGGCTCTTCAGCTGAGGAGAGGGATTTTAGCCTCTTGTTTCCTGCCTTCCTGCTGGGGTTGGGCACAGCTCAGTGCTGGGTGTAGCGGGGTCATTTCTCTGCCATTTCCCCAGCTCTGGCAAATGGGGTTGAGGAGCGCATGAGAAGCTCCTAGAATCATAGAATGGTTTGGGTTGGAAGGGACCTTAAAAACCACCCAGTCCCACCCCTGCCCTGGGCAGGGACACCTCCCACCAGCCCAGGTTGCTCCAAGCCCCATCCAGCCTGGCCTTGAACCCCTCCAGGGATGGGGCAGCCACAGCTTCTCTGGGCAACCTGGGCCAGGCTCTCACCACCCTCACAGCAAAGAAGTTCTTCCCCAGATCTCATCTCAATCTCCCCTCTTTCAGTGTCAAACCCTTTCCCCTCATCCCGTGGCTCCTCTCCCTGACCAAGAGTCCCTCCCCAGCTTTCCTGGAGCACCCCTCCACCCCCCCACACCTAGGTTGTGGTGCTGCTTGGTGCTGAGGATGAGCGGTGTCAGAGCTGTGGTAGGGACCTAATTCAGAGTTAAGGGATGCTTCTGTTAAATATTTTCTTCTGCACACATAAGGCAGGAGGACAGAAGCACGCGTGTGCGGTGTCTGTGGTGTGAAGTGCACCAGTGGGTTTCTTGTGGGAGTAAATTCAGACGGGGCCCATCAGGTGCTTACAGAGCACTGCTGCTCAGCAATAATGGCATGGACTGGTCTTAACCAGGAGACTGTGACTGAAGGGTACAGCCAGTAACCTCCAGTGGGGACCACTGTAGTTACTCCTCATTTTAGGCAGCTCTAAAAAGGCACACAAGGACTTGTGCAGCTCATGATTGGCCACACAGCAAGGGAGGAAAGGGAGAAAAAACAGACTCTAGGGATTACAAGGCTTCACACTGAATAGATCCTACTGGAAGATGTCAAATTCCAGTTAAGCTGCTAATTTGAACCAGTAATTGCAAGTATTCTTGCAGTACAATTTTGGTTTGGATTCAATAAGGATTTTGATTAACAGTTCAGCTCCTGTTCTAGAAAGAAAGTGCTCGAGGTGATTTCTGGTTTCACTTTGCTTGAGATCCCCAGCTGCTCTGAATTTCTTTGAGCAGTGCTACAAGCAGTATTTTATAAGTTCAGACACAGTACACATGCTTTCCTACATTGCAAGCTCATTCTTGAATTTTTGTGAGAGCGCCTCATCTTTTCTTTGCAGATTCCCTCGGCCTGTCACTGTGGAACCCATGGATCAGTATGATGATGAAGAGGGACTACCGGAGAAACTAGTCATCAAAAACCAGCAATATCACAAGTAGGTGCCTGCCGTGCGACGGGAGACGAGACTGCCTGTGGGACTAGCACATTGACTAGTGCCTCAGTGTTAGGAGGGTGGCTCGAGGTCCTCTTTTTTTCTGTAAACGTGACCTGACTCTGGAAAGAGAATTGCATATACTGTTCTCTTGCCATGGTTAGCTGAAAGGAGGCAGTGGTTTTGGATCCATGCTACTGGATAAGACAGGCAGCCTCCGCCTATTTTTCATAAGTCTCTTTCAGTTGTTGGAATAAAACACTGTGTCAGGTTGAGATAACATGAGATCCCCTTGCTCAGATGAGAAGCTGAAGCGAAGACTTAAGTTACTTGCTCTAAGTATTACTGGGAGTCTGTAGAGGAAATGGATTTGAGTCCATAGTGAAAATTTAGGGAAGGGTGTGAATAGCATTAGGAGGTTGTAGAGCTATCCAGGTATAAGTCTTTGAGGGCTTCCCAGTGTAAGTACATATCACATGATCTGAGCTGTGGGAGTTAGGAAACCACGTGAGCTCATGAATTTTTCAATGAAGGAAGATGAAGGCTCCAGGAGCTGGGAGTCTGCACTGGGGATAGTCACCTGCTCCAGCTGCAGAGATTAGTGACATAAACACATGTGTTTGGGCAGTGTTTGTTTCTGGAGTGGATCTGTCAGTAAGGTGTGAAGCAGGAGCAAAGCCCGTTTCTTTCAGGAGTATTTCTAAATGTCTTTACCCAGAATCTTTTGGTGTCTTATGAAAGCAATGTCATTGCTTGTTATGGAGCAGAACGGGACGTGGTTTCCATGTAGAATTAATCCTGCGGAAGGATTCTGCCTAAGTTTCTCCTTTCAATAGGATGATTCCTGAGGAGCAGACAAACTGGTATCTTGGGCATAGCTATTTTTGAGAAACTAGAAGACAAAGTGGTTCCTTACTTGTTGCACTAAGAAATGCATTTCTAACTGTTAAAAGGATCTGCCGTTGCATTTGACACACAAATGTATTTTTTTTTTTTTGGTTCCTCCTCGCTCTGTTGAAGCATTCACCAGCTCTTCCTTGTTTGACAGGGAGCGTGAGCAGCCTCCTCGATTTGCACAGCCTGGCAGCTTTGAGTATGAATACGCCATGCGTTGGAAGGCTCTAATAGAAATGGAGAAGCAGCAGCAGGAACAAGTAGACCGCAACATCAAGGAAGCTCGAGAGAAGCTGGAAATGGAAATGGAAGCAGCTCGCCATGAGCACCAAGTTATGCTCATGCGGCAAGGTACCCATCAGAGACAGATACAGGATGGGAAGGTCCTGATGCCACATCCAGGGGCAGGTGGCTCAGCAGAGTGGCCAGAAGGCGAGCTGTGGTGTGGCTGCCTTGCTTGTAACCAAGCACAGTAGCGGCAAACGAACGGAGAGATGTTCCTCTATTGCTGGAGGCTCTTATTCTCTTGCGTGTTACGGTTCTCGTTCAGGAACTGATAGGAGGTGACATGGGAGATGAGTTTGATTGTGGTTTTTGCTGTTGTCTTTTACAGATTTAATGAGACGCCAGGAAGAGCTGAGGAGAATGGAGGAATTGCATAACCAAGAAGTACAAAAACGTAAACAGTTGGAACTGAGGTAAGGGAGCGGGTTATGAAATGCTGTGAATCCATAATATTGCGGAATGAAACGCTTCTTCAGTGCACTTAATTGTTCACTGTGACAATTTAATTACTACCTAAAGCATGGCTGTTATTTTGGGTCTTTTTATTCATAGGGATGAATGTACGGTTGGTTTAAGATGGAAGAGTTAGGAGTTTCTTCCGCAGATTCGTACGTGGGTTCTTACAGTTCTGTGTCTCTCTTTAGCTCCTTGACCAAGGCAGATGGAAAAATCAGAATCTTTGCCATGATTCCATGGCTTTGGGGCTGCAGGCTAGGAAACCCCATTCTTTTTGTTCACGGGTTGACTTAGTCTCAGATATCTCTTTCCATTCCAGCTCTTCCTTGTCTTGGCATCATTTTGAGAAGCTCTGGGACAATCTCCAGGGTATTTCTGTAATAGAAGAGGCTTGAGAACTGTCTGGCTTGTATGCACTATATTGCGTGTAGTCAGCGTGTATTTAGCAGCTGCTGTGTGCAGAGAATCATTTAGGTTGGAAGAGACCTTTAAGATCATTGAGTCCAACCATCAACCCAACACTGCCAAGTCCACCACTAACGATGTCCCTCAGCACCACATCTACTGTCTTTTAAATACCTCCAGGGATGGGGACTCCACCACTTCCCTGGGCAGCCTCTTCCGTTGCTTGATAACCTTCACCTTTCAGTGAAGAAATTTTTCCCAATCTCCATCCTAAACTCCTCTGGGGCAACTTGAGGCCATTTCCTTTCCTCCCGTTGCCTGTTCCTTGGGAGAAGAGCCCGACCCCCCCTGGCTACATCCTCCTTTCAGGGAGCTGGAGAGAGCGAGAAGGTCTCCCCTCAGCCTCATTTTCTCCAAGGCTGAACACCCCCAGCTCCCTCAGTTGCTTCTCAAGAGACATGTATGTGCTCATGTTGGGTTTTATAATGAACTACTTAAAATTGAACACGTTAGAAATGTCTTGGTGTGCATACATGTTTCTGTTTTCATCATGAGATACTTAATATTTTACAGCCTCAGCAAAATAGCGTTCTTAAAGTTGTTGGTTTCCAAACAAGACCTGTTAGGCAGCACTGCAACACTGTGATGCAAATGGTTGGTGTATGTTGGGCTGAGCATCCTTGGACCTTCTTTGCAGGCAAGAGGAAGAACGCAGGCGTCGTGAAGAGGAAATGAGAAGGCAGCAAGAAGAGATGATGAGACGCCAGCAGGAAGGCTTTAAAGGGAATTTTGCTGATGCGGTATGAGTGCTTCTACCTTCCCATTACATCTGGACACTGACATTAGAGGGTTTTTTTTGCCCTTCCACAGCACAGGGCTTTCTGGGATTGCTTAACTTGTTCGTTGAGGAACTCCACATCTTTAGTGCGTTCTGTCCTGAATTATTGACTCCCTACAATCTTGATACAGTTTAGTCTAGAAAATATAAAATACCCCAGTTTCTGTCCCGCTGCTGTTCATGTAGGACCCATGCTAGCTGTCTTGGTGTTCAGAAGAATATATGCTAATTTTATTCTCACAGTAACAAAGACATACTGTCCTGGAGTACTGCTGCAGCAGCCACTTAGGGTCATATGCCGGCTCTATCCCTAGCCTGCAGTCTCTCTTAGTCATGCCTAGATGAAATGATCCCTAATTGAGGCACTGCTGCAGGCGTGGTAATTGCTTGTACTTAAAAGTCCATTGGTCAAGTATTTTCTTGTAATGTTAAATGTTGTGGTAACCTTCCTTCTAATAGCAGTATCTATTTGTCAGTGAGGTTGACGGTTGGACAAGATGATCTTTAAGGTCCCTTCCAACCTAGAAGATTCTGTGATTCTGTGATCTCTAGTTCAGTAAAGAACCATCTTACAGTTCCTTTCCCGTCCCCTCAGCGTTGTGTTGTGGGGGCAGCTGCAGTGCTCTCCAGGTGGTGTAATGGCAGCGACGCAACTGGGTGGCAAGTGTTTGTGTATCCTGGTGAAAAATTGGTTGCTAAACAAAATATGTCAAATGAAAAGGGCCAAAACCACGCGACTGACCTAAATGTGTGAATGTTACCCTGATTTCTCTAAATAATAGTGCTTTCATAATAGTGGCACTGAGACCATAGATGAAGTAAAATCTTCAGTTCCAAGTAGTCCCCTCACTGAAGCGAGGAGGTGCTCCTAGCTTTGCAGCGCAGGAGATCTGCAGTGTGTCCCTGTGATCAGTTAATAAAAGAGAAATCCAACTTACTGACCAGTATTTTAATGCAAGTGACCCAGTGCTGGGTCTTTGTGTAAGCTTGCATTCCTTTCAGCAGGAAAAGCTTCTTAGCTATGCTGAGGAAGTAGTAAAACTAATTCCATCTAATGTGTTACTTGCTGCTCAGCAGATCTTTCCATCCAGATATCAGATACCTCTTTTTGCTGCTGTTTGGTAAAATCTGCACACGTAGCTTTGCTGCTGGATGTTTTACTGGGATTGTGAAAAACCAGTCTTTCAGAATGTTTGTTCAGCAGTTAATCCTGTGAAGGTAGCTCAGATCTTCTATTGAAATTTACCCTGGGAATGACATTTCTACACAGCTTTCAGTGGTTAAACCCCAGAACTCAATGAATTTGTATAATGACATTTTTTAAAAGCCTGAATTTTTATCATTTGAAATGAGTGTCTCTTCTTCCAGAGGGAGCCACCAGACATGCGAATGGGACAGATGGGTATGGGAGGTAAGAGGTGGCCATCTTTGTTGCTATGCATGTGCCTTTCCCCCTTTACAAAATCTCTACGTTTATTGAGTAGTCTTATTTTATTGGCTTCTGTTTCAGAAACTCAGTCATAGTAATCTTCTCCCAGTTCAGTGACAGGAAGCACACGTGTAACAGGAAACATAACACAGCTGGGGTGTGAGGCAGTGCTGCACAGCTGTGACAGACTCAGCTCAGTAAGGAAAAGACTTGGTTGAAGTTGCTGTTGGGGCTATAGGTGTTTCAGAAGCTACAGAGGCTGATATGTCATATAGACCTGGACCCTGAACCCAGGAAATAATCCTCATTACTGTATTTCTATATTTTGACTATGTGATTTAGAGTTTCAGGCTGCATGTACAAGAGCAAGTGAAAAGGTAACGGGGTCTTAGTGGTTAATGAAGGTGGTGTTAGAGCCTGCTGTAGTTTCAGATAATCCTGGAATTCAAGATCAGTTTGTCTTGACCTAATAGTGCAAAGCTAGTTGGTAGACAGGAGTCTGTCACTGCATAGAAGGCTGCAGGGAGCTCTCCAGGTGTCTGTGGCTCTGGGGTGATGAGTAGACCCCAGTCACTGTGTCTGCCAGGACTAGTCTTCACTTTTCTTTTCCAGGTACCATTGGCATGAACAATAGAGGAGCTATGGGTGGTACCAACGTCCCGGCTGCCGCCCCTCCTGCAACTGGTCCAGGAGCTATGATACCTGATGGAGCCATGGGAATGGTAATGTATCTCCATCTGGTTTTTGTGCACACCTTTGAAATGCAGATTATGGGGTTTTTTCCATTGTTAAGCACTATGCTGCTGAAGTTGAAGCTTGTTTGTCTACCTAGACCTGTTGCTTAACTCCTGCTGTTAATCTTGCCTGGAGACTAGTTGGTAATTTTCAGGAGATTGAGCCAAATCTAATAACTACTTCCTTTACTTCCAAGACAGATAGTGCTAAAACATTTGTTAAAAGAATCTTAGCAATAATATATGCTTGTTTTTTAAATGGCACAACGGGAAGCACTTCGTTGAATGAGAGTGCTTTGAGAGTAGGTTTTTTGCTGGCATAAAGCCAAGCTTTCAGGAATGTTCTGTACATCACCAGCTTTCAAAACAATTATCCCCTATGCTAATAGGGTAAAATGAGGATGGTATTAATAAGTACGCTAACGTGAGTTCAGCTAATTTGCTTAGGAAGTAAAGAGCAAAGAATCAGTGGAGGTTATGCTTAGATATTTGCCTTCTTGAATTTTTTGTGTTTAGTTTTCAGCTTTACTGCAGAGCCTTACAATAGAGTGTGGTTTCTGTGGCATCTGTCAGGGAGAGGATCCATCCTCTCAGCGTCACCGCTTCCAGGCAGTAGCAGAAACGGCAGCGGTCACGGTCAGGGTTGTCCTAGAAGTTCATCTTCCTTTAGCAGTTTTTATCAACTGGTCTCATAAACAATTTTCTACTTAGAGTTCTTGGTCTGTTGTGCCTGCGACATCAAAGAAATTTGGTTTTGTTATAAAGAACAGTTTTATTTGGCTATAAGCTTTTTGTTTTTGTCATAAAGAACAGTTTTATTTGGCTATAAGCTTTTGTACCTGAGTGATGGGGACAGTGGAGCAGCTGAGGTGAAGGGAATGTACACTACACAAGGAAATCAAGGGGGAAGATGAAGAGGGGAATGGAAAGGGGAGGTGAGCTCAGATCAATATGATGAAATAGTAGCATTTAACAGAAAAGCAATAAGCTGTTTCTCCAATGGCAAGAAATATGTATAGTCTTTCTGGAAACTGTTTATCCTGCCCGTATGCTCAGTTTTTGGAGTTACCTGGGCCGAGTATTCCAGCTTTTTATTCACACAGGGAGCAGTGGCTTTGCATGTTTGTTCCAGCTGCTCGGAGTGATTGCAGTGCCCTTCTCTGTGATGTGTCCTACAGGAGAGGTTCATGATTACTCAGAATTTTTCATCTGTAGGGAAAGGAAAGGGGTGCTGTGTTCCCTCTAGTGCCTCCCCTGCGCTGCCAGCCAAAGGGAGCACTGGGGGGCCCTGGGAAACCCCCCGTTAACAGTTTTACTGAACTTTAAGTGTGTGTTCTTTAGAACCAGGCAGTACCACAGGGTCATCTACAGTACTGATACCAATTATGATGTGCATGTACCTATGTATGTATCATTGCTGTAAGCCTGTGGGCAAAGAATAAATGGAACCCAGGAGCCTGGTGTAAAACAGCTCTGCCTACACAGTCACTTAGCCCCAGTCTGGGGGGAAGGGAGGGGCAGTGGTTGCTTCCAGTACCTTCCCCAAGGGAAGTACCATGTCCACCATGAGAACATTGAAGCAGTGATTGCCCAGAGAGGTTGTGCATTCCTCAGTCTTGGATGTTACGAAACCCAACTGGATGAAGCTGTGACTAATCTAGTTTGACCTCACAGCCAACTCCACTTTGAGGAGGTTGGACTAGAGACCTCCTGAGGTACCTTCCAACCTGAATTGTCTTTTGAGCATCTTCCTGCTGGAAGGAAGAAGCCCCAGCTGGGAGAGAGGGGAGAGCCAAAGGACTGGAGAAGAGGAGGCTGAGGGGAGACCTTATTGCTCTCTCCAACTCCCTGAAAGGAGGGTGTAGAGAGGTGGGGGTCGGTCTCTTCTCTCAAGTCACAGGCGACAGGACAAGAGGAAATGGCCTCAAGTTGTGCCAGGGGAGGTTCAGGCTGGATATTAGGAAAAATTTTTTCACTGAAAGGGTTCTCAGCCCTTGGAATGGGCTGCCCAGGGAGGTGGTTGAGGCCCCATCCCTGGAGGTGTTCAAAAGACGGGTTGATGTAGTGCTGGGAGGTCTGGTTTAGTGATGATGCTCCTTGTTTGTTGTGTGGGTGTCTATTTTTGTCAGTTAGGTTGATGGTTGGACAAGATGATCTTTAAGGTCCCTTCCAACCTAGAAGATTCTGTGATTCTGTGACTGGAAATCAGAGGACTAGTAGTAAGACTAGTGCTGCAGACTTATTTTGGAATTGGAGTATTGTGTGTGCGTGGGTTGTGATGGGCTGTAGTGTCTGCGTCCTGCTCCTCTTTTGCATGCCATTTGGGTGAAGGAATGTGGTGGAAACGTGGAAGTTCTCCTTTCCCAGACTGCATTACTGACAGGCTCCACGGCAGGGCACTACTCTGTGAGATGGTGCAACCCATGCTCTGGTGTGCCTGACTGCCAGGTGCCTGAGGAAAGAGACTTGGTCCTACAAGGGTCCTGTCAGTCCTGCTTTGGGGATGTTTTTGGTGGGGTGAAGGTTTGTAGCGAGGTCATCTGGAATTGTGGAATCCTGGTAGAATTTGAATCGACTCAAATGGCTTTTAACTGCCCTTTTTTTCCTTGTTTTTCTTCCTGCCTGTTCTCACTCCAAGACCCCACCGCCGCCCGCAGATCGCTTTGGCCAAGGCGGCGCGATGGAAGGGCTCGGAGCCATGGGAGGGAACCCCCCGGCCTTCAACAGAGGAAACCCAGGGGGTGACTTTGGCCCTAACAAGCGTCGCAGATACTAACGGGATGAGGATACCCCCTGCGCACACCCCAAAGAGGAAAGGAATCTTGGCAGGCCAGCAGGCTTCAGCTCGGAGGGGGGGTGGGGGGAAGGGGGG